ATAATGCAGTATTAGTATTTATTCTGTAGAAATTGCAAAGCAGGGTGTGAAAAACTAAGTACATGACCTCAAATCAAATCAAATCAAATCACTTTTATTGTCACATCACATGTGCAGGCACACTGGCACAGCACATGCGAGTGAAATTCTTGTGTGCGAGCCCACAGCAACAGAGATGTGCAAAACAACAAACAAACGAGCAAAATACAAGAATGGCCAACCTGAAACTAATAAATATATGTACAATATATAATAGTGTATGCATTTCTGGATGTGTATACTAAATATTTTCCTACGTGTGTGTGTGTGTGTGTGTGTGTGGTGTGTGTGTGTATGCACATTTTTACAAATTAAATAGTTAAAAAAAAATTAAAAAAATAAATAAATAATAATAATAATAATAAAATATATAAAATATACAGAGTTGAATATGTGCAAAACAAGTGGCATTTATATACAGTATGGAGTGCATAATGTTGAAGTTCCAGTAGTGAAGCTGAGGTGTCTATGACATGTTCAGCAGTCTGATGGCCTGATGGAAAAAGCTGTCTCTCAGTCTGCTGGTACGGGACCGGATGCTGCAGAACCTCCTTCCTGATGGAAGTAGTCTGAACAGTTTATGGCTGGGGTGACTGGAGTCCTTGATGATCCTCCCCGCTTTCCTCAGGCACCGCTTCCTGTAGATGTCTTGGAGGGAGGGAAGCTCACCTCCAATTATCCGTTCAGAGCACCGCACTACTCGCTGGAGAGCTTTGCAGTTGTAGGCGGTGCTGTTGCCATACCAGGTGGTGATGCATCCAGTGAGGATGCTCTCAATGGCACAGTGATAGAAGGTCCTGAGGATGCGGGGGCTCATGCCGAATCTTTTCAGTCTCCTGAGAAAGAAGAGGCGCTGCTGCGCCTTCTTCACTGTTTTGTTTGTGTGTACTGACCACGTAAGATCCTCAGCCAGATGTACACCAAGGACCTTATAAAATCACCTCGATCATCAGTAACTTGAAGCAGTTAATATCTGTATGACTTAATCATTCTCTCACATTATTGTGTAGGAATGCTGAGGTCTGGACTTGGACTGGACCAATACAACACCTTGATTGTTTTCTTTTTTGCTATTTTGTAGATTTGCTGCTGTGCTTGTGATCATAGTGGCGACCGTGGTTCAGGGGGTTGGAAAGCTCATCTTGTAACCGGAAGGTTGCCGGTTCAGCCCCTGCTCCATCTATCTTGGTCGTTGTGGCCTTGGGCAAGACACTTGCTGGGATTTGCTAGTCTTGAATATCCACATTTATAAATAATCTGTCTCAATGAATTTTGAATTGTTTGGAAATAACCTTGTAACCCTTCCCAGATTGATGGGCAGCAACAATTACTTCTCTAAGATAATTGCTGTTGTCTTTTCTAGTTGGCATTGTGTTAACATGCACCTGCATGCTGCAGTCCAGGAAACTGCCAAAACTTAAAAGCACTCACTCACATTTGCTGATGATCAGCTAATTAAGTGCATTTGATTAGCAGCATCTGGCTGCTACTTACTCCGGTGTAATATGTCACACTTTTTAGTACATTTGAGGTTATATTCATCTTTTAAACTGTCCTGATAGGTGTATCTGATATCACTGTGTTGTTGTTGTTCCTGCATCATAAAAACATTGGTCTAGGATTAATATTGCAATTGACCAATCACATTCTGGTGATGCCATAGCTTTGAAATGTGGTAGAAAAAAAAATTGCCTTTGTTTATATAAAACTCACTTGTAACTTCCATATCAAATGTTTTCTTCTTCTTCTTCTTTTTTTTTTTTAATTTACACAGTATAACAGATATATTATCAAGTTAGGTTAGCTGTTATCCAGATTTAGGTCACTCATGTTGGTTGTGTATTAACCATGGTTAATACACTAACCGCTTTGGCTAATGCTAACTAAATACACAGATAACATGACTGGCTGATGTTGATCCTGGACTAAAATTGTTATGATGATGTAGGAATATCCCCAACACTGGGATATCAGTTTATCAGATCCTGACATGTAAAACCTCAGAATTTAAAGACAGTGTCCTTTCTTTTTACTATGTCTGTAATGTTGCTACCCGAAATAAAAGCTAGACGGCTAAACCTAGTTTTCAAAAGTTGTCATTGTGGTATCTAATTGTGTTTTGACACAGGTTTTTGGTTTTGTTGTCCTTATGGGAAGTTTGTATTGGAGTGTTAAGGAGGTGGTTTGCTGTAATAATTGACCAGTGGCCTTAAATCGTGAGCTACTGTTAACCAGTGTTGCTCACTGTTGATGATGGAAGCCAACCCAGTATCACAGCAAAGCACGTAATAGACCTGCTGGCTTATTATGTGGATGAGCCACGCTTTACCTCTCCTTAGGAGTGAAATGGACACACCTGGTTAAGTTGCATTACTTTGCTGTAATATCGGGTTGTAGAAGTAGAAGAGAGTCACTGATATTTGTGCTGAGAGAGTCAGGAAGGGTCTCCTTTATTAATTACAGTACATTCACACATTTGCAAAATTCACCCAACACACATTTAAATAAAAGTCTATCTTAAGAATTTTAAACAAAGTACTTCTTACCAATGCTTTCTTTGCCCATCTAATAGTCCCAAAACATAATTATTAAAAAACAAGGAGAAATTTAACATAGATATTTACAGAAGTGCAGGTATGAGAGTCAAAAAATAATAAGAGACTTCTATTCCTGCAAGGCACTGGCTTGTAGATAGCACTGCCCTCTACTGGAGGCTAATAGCAAATTCATCCATTTAAAACTATTATTGACAGTCTGCTCCTAATGCAAAAAGATGACTGAAATAAATGGAAAATAATTGTGCTAGTTTTGTAACACCTTTTGGTCATTATGATGCACTTCAAAGCATTAAACTGAAAAACAAAAAAACAAAAACCATACAGTGAGGTTGTAGCACCAGTGCTGCATATTTTGTAAATAGAGGTCATTTCATAAGTGCCTAAATACAGAGGGAAGTTTATCCAGCCACAAGGCAAAACACATGAGCAATTTGTATGCAATGCATGACCCACAGCGCCCGAGGCCAGGATCCTGACTGTCTGCTTGGTCTCCGTCCGTAAACAAGATCTGATTTCTAAAATTGACGTATTTGAGGTAACATTCCCATGCCTTAATTCTTAAAAGCAGTTCAGGGTTCCAGGTTTGGCAAACACATGCAAGCAACACAGAGGAACATGAGCAGGAACGTTTAAAAAAAAAAAAAAAAAAAAAAAGTTAAAATGTCCACAGTAAAAACTAAACCCATTTTAGAGAAAACTCTTGCTCACAACATACTGGAGGAGGATGAATTTATTGATATTAGAGTATTAAATTTAATAACAGGATATGGAGCCTTTCTTCCCACCCTATACTTGTATTACTTTGGTCTTGGCTGGGTCGCTGCTATTGACCTCTGGATGAAAATTTCACCAGTTGTGCTTGTGTAAGTTTGAGTGTGTATGGATAGCCGTTAGAACGAAAAGAAAAAGAAAAAAAAAAAAGGGGGGAAATCCCTCATCACGTTCTGAGGATTACAGTCAGACTGAAAGCAAGCCTCCCAGACAGCTGGGAAAGACAAGGATCAAGACCCAAGGTGGAAAAATAACAAGTCTAGTTGGTCAGATAGACGTTACTTCGGCTGTTAAGACCACAGCAGTTCATGAAGCGGATCGTGGCAAAGGAGTGAAAGCCAACTGTCAGATCAAACTTTATTTGTAACTCAAGAAGGTGCCATGAAACATTCCTACTGTCAGCACATTTTCCCATGTTAGCGCAGGGTGTTTTTCTTCCATCCTAATGCAAGATTAACGATGGCAGCCTGCATCCAAATTGAAGTTTAGCCTCCTAAGAGTTATTAGAGAGGAAATTACAGTGAATCCCCAGTGCTTGTGACCGATTTCCAACTGTGACAGTGGAAGAGAGATGAGGTGTGATAAAACATCAGCCCACACCTACAAAAAGGGCTACAGAAACCTCTCATTCAAAATATTTGCTACATTAACATGTGCCGATCAGTCCATCTAGGTTTACAGCTCAGTTCTCCCTTCGAGGTTAAACGGTCCGTAAAAATTGCACGGGCATATTCAATTCAGTTATTAAAACAACAAATTAAACATCACTTATAATTTGGTTTGTCATGAGGGTTCGGGCTTCAGGCCCCAGTGCTGGCAAGCACTCACTCTCCTAAAGGTGTTTGAGGGAACATGGAAACCACAAGTCAGCTTTAATGCTCCTGCTCTGCAGCCGACCAGCCTTTAACCTCCCTGAGACTGTTACATTTGACAACATTAACTCTCAGGCCAGCGGTTTTCTCGTAAGAACAATTCATTTCATGTTTTTCCTTTTTTTGTAATTTTACATACACATTTAGGGGGAACAACTTCATTTCACCCTGCACTGATTAACACTCAGAAATAGTCCAGCTTGTAATCCAGCCATGGGGCATCCACAGTTCAATTAAATTCAATGTAGTTTTATTTATATAGCACCAAATCAACAACAACAACTGTCTCAAGGCACTTCTTATGGTAAAAACACTACAATTTAAAAAAAAAAACAAAAAAAACCCAACAATGATATGAACCCCTATAAGCAACTTCTTTGGTGACAGTGGGGAGGGAAAAAACTCCCTTTTAACAGGAAGAAACCTCCAGCAGAACCAGGGTTTAGGGAGGGGCCGTCTGCTGCGACGGGAGGAAGGAAGACAGGACAAAGACATGCTCTGGAAGAGATCCGGAGTTTAATAATAACTAAATGCAGAGACACACACACACACACACACACACACACACACACACGAGCAAACGTAGCCCTTAATGCTAGTCCCAAACCTGGATAATGGATGGCGTGGGTTTCATTGCGAAGGTCCATATGGGTTGGTCAGCAGCTTAGTTAACAACAACTGCTTCCAGTGCTGAAGCCTGTACTATTAAGCGAGAGAGGCCGCTGAATTATTAGAGGAAAAACACAAGTCTACCTTTGAGAAAGTTCCACTTTATTTTTTAATAGGAAAAAAGCAAATTTATGATTAAAATGACAAACTGATAAAACAATACATTTTTGAACTTTGAAATAAAAGTGTTTGTAATTAGGTTATAATGATAATTTGATAAGGCTAAAAATGTGCACCTCCTCACTTCTTGCTGGCGATCCTCTTGGATCGTCTCAGACCTTCGTTTTGTGCCTCCTCTCCAGCATTATCTGCAGTGGTGGCAGCAGCTCTCCTGCCACGAGAGGGCACCTCAGGTTCTCCAGTTTTCACTTTACTTTGACTTTTCTGTTGGGAAACTGTGGTCTGAGCAGTTCCAGCAGGCTTTCTTCGTCCTCTCACAGGTTGTACTGACTCTCGGGAATTTAAGTCCTGCCCTTCAGCTTCCTCATTTTCCCCTCTGCTTGCTTTAACCTTCTTTTTCTGTTGCTCTCCTGGAGCTCCAGACCGGGTTGGCTCTTCGGCTGAGGTTTTCAGAGTGTCCCTGTTTCTACTCCTTGTTGATTTACTTGTGTTTTTTGCGTCTTGCAACATTTCAGTAGATTTAACAGCTTTCTTTTGTCTCTTTCTTGGCAGCTTCATTTGGCTTTTAATGGCATCTAAATCTTCTTTGATTTCTGGTGCTTCCGTGATGTTCACCTGCATTTCCAGAGACGTGCAGGCCTCCTTTGAAACCACATAAATGGAAAAATAGTAAGCCTTTTGTTAATGTGTGGATACAGGCACCAAACCTCAAGTTTAAAAAGATAAATGAAGTGGTGTAAGATGAGACTAAATCGGGTCCTCACCTCTCGCTGTGCAAGTTCAGCTTTCAAATCAGACAACTGCCTCATCAAACCTTGTATCCTCAGCTGAAACGGATACAAATAGTCAATAAATGTAGACTTTCAGGCTGGAGCCTCTCTTTTATGGCAGTCAAAAAACGGCCAAATTAACCCCCAACAGCTCAGTTCTATTTCTGTTTTTCTGACAGACTGCCATCTTCTTTACTGCTCTTGAATTTAACTACCACCAAGAAGTTGACTTCATGAAGGACTGAGTGACAGCCCCCTGCTGACTATTCAAAAATTGGAGGGGAGCAAACCAAAACAAAAAACCAGTCAATAGAAAACACTATTTTCCATTACAAGTTATACATATATTGATGGCTTCCTATACGCACTGACCACTTTAATAGGGATACATTTTTCAAACACTTAAAAATACAAAATCTCTAATCAGTCAGTCACATGGAAACAACTCAGTGGATTTAGGCATGCAGACATGGTCAAGACCACCTGTTGAAGTTCAGCCTGAGAATCAGAATAAAGGGGATTTAAGTGACTTTGATTGTGGTATGGTTGTTACAGAAACCACTGATCTACTGGGATTTTTCCCAACAAAAATCATCTTTAGTATTTACAAAAAAATGGTCTGAAAAAGAGAATATCTAGTGAGCAACAGTTCTGGGTGGAAATACCTTGCTGAGGTCAAAGATGAATGGCCAGACTACTTCAAGCTGATAGTAGGGTAACACTAACTCAAATATCTGCTTGTTACAGAAACAACCACGGTATACGGAAAAGCATGTGTGAACACACAAGATGTTGAACCTTGAAGCAGATGAGCTACAGCAGCAGAAGAGCACACTCCTGTCAGCAAAGAACAGGAAAGTGAAGCTACAATTCGCAACAGCTTACCCATATTTGACAACACTGGGTGCCACTTCCTAACAGCTAAGAAGAGGAAACTACAATTAATATTAACATCTCAAACTGGTTTCTTGAACATGGCAATGAATTCTCTGTACTCAAATGGCCTCCAAAGTCACAAGATCTCTGTTAAATGGAGCTTGTTTTTCATGTGTTCATGAGGAGATTCACATCACAGTCATGCAGCCAACAAATCTACAGGAACTGTGTGACACCATCATGTCAATATGGATCAAAATCTTGAAGGAATGTTTCCAGCACCTTCATGAATCTGCACCATAAAGAATTCAGTCTGTTCTGAAGCTGAAAGAGGTCCAACCCAGTACCAGCAAGGTGCACTTAATGATGCAGCCAGTGAGTGCATATTTTTGCAGTTTTCGGCCTCCATATTCTCTTACCTGTTTATTGGCAATTTGCCTTTCCATCTGTCCTCTCTCTTCAGCCTCCTCCTTCCTCCTGTAATGTCAAACATATGAACAGTAATGGGATTTTTTTTCCCCCTCCCTTTCTTTCAGAAGCCAAGATGCTGACAGCATTCATCAGCGACGCAAACCATTACTGCAAAACATGAATAGACAGAGCCATAACCCTGGCCCTACATTACTGTATCCAAGGAAGACATTACTTGTTTGCCACCATCTTCTCTATTTGATACAACTCGACCCTCTTCTTATCCATGGCGTCCTGGATGTCTCTTATTTTCATCATGGATAGGAGAGATTTGGCATCCGCGTTAGTCAAGTCAGCCTGTGGGCATGCCATTCTGAGGACCACCTTTGCCCACTCAGTGACCTCTATACAAGATGGGAACTGACAGAGGAGATTTATCATCAGAATACATTAAAAAACACATTTCCAGTGAAACTTCAACTGCAAACAATCTGTACATGTCTCTATTGCAAGGTTTAGTGTTTTTTTTGGTAAAGCAAAAAAAACCCCGAAAGTCTGCAGGTTCAGTAGGTTAGCGTTTGATGTTGTGGATTAAATATGCCTCTTAACCTTTGTTAAGAGCTTCCATGATTTTGAGGAATTTCCAGTGAATGTTATCTAACAGGCTGTAAATGCCAGAAGGAATCATTCAAAGGATCCATCTTTTTAAACTTCAAGTCCATACCATCGCTGCCCTTCAAGTAAAGACTTTTTTTGGTGGTGGTGGGGGATAATGCTATTTTAGGGGGGAATATAAGAAGCCAGTGAAGATGCCTGTAACACACTGAAGCTTGAACATACACAGAGTTATTACGACAATAAAAAGAGACAGATGCGCCCCAGAAGCAACTGTAGAAGTAAAGAAACATCAAAGAGTTGCTTTTAAAGGATACATTTGGAGGCTCACAGCATAGGAGGTCATGTTGCATGTGTGAAAGTCACCACGTCTATTGCATTTCAGAATAACTCACCCTCTTGAGCTCAGCCTCTGCTTTCATCTTGGAAGCACATGCCAACTCTAAGGCCACCATTTCCGTTTTTAACAGCTTCTGCACTTCTTCTAGTTTAACCTGAGGACCGCCAGAACATCCAACTGTATCAGTGCACTATAGCCGTTCATGGTGAAATGCCCATATATGAGGCCTACCTGCATTTTTTTGACAAGCTGCTCTTCTTTCATCTTTTTTAAAAATTCCAAGTCAGCAGCAGTGAGCTGGTAACCCTTCATCCCTTTCAGCATGGAGTGAGGGTCATGAGATTCTGGAAGTTCTTCTGAGCAAATAGTAATTAAGACAAAACTTTGTGACAAAAACCCAAGTGTGAAACTTTCTTTACAAAAACTAAAATCTAGATGATTTCAGTTTCTGTTCAATAAATTAGACACCTGTTAAAATCCAAATGGGAACGTTTAATATTTGTATCATTTTCAAAGGCTCTAAAACAAAACTGTTGCTCACCTGTATCTGTCTGACTTTTTTGGTTACCTTCGTCTTTATCTCTGACACCATCCTATTTATGAAAGCACAAACGTTGATGGGTCAAGTCAATGAAGTAGTCGGATTTAAAAAAAACAACCCAAAACGTTTATGTACCTCCATGTTCTGCTCTGGTTCCTCAAGGTTGGTGAAATCCAGTTGTCTTGTTACGTTTGTTAAGGGCGGCGTCCTGGGAAGCTGCCGACCTGACGGGATGTAGTTCCCTGAACTGCAGCTCCGTCGCAGAATTTCAAAATACGTGTCAGACATGTCTGAGGATTCCCTTCAACATAACCACAAAAAGCACTGAATGTCTTGAATGATAGCAGCAAGGGCTCAGCTGACAGCTGCGACCAATTGGTGCTGCCGACACATGCTCCCTTCCTCTCTTCCGGCCTTTAGGGCAGGTAGCTCCACCCACGTGTGGCCTTTATCAGTTAGGAGCTAAACACTCTCAATCAAAACATTTAACGAGATTAAACATGCAGACATTTCTAACAACATGACAGTATTTAATTATTAACCAAATGTGTTTGTGAAATTGTTCTGAGTATTTCTAGAAACCTTTTGGCCAAGCGACCATCTGTCTGGGCCTCCTTTACTGTGGCGGTAGTTGGAATCTCCCACTTTGTTTTGACTGTTTAGTAGTGATGGGCAGATGAAGCCCCATGAAGCACTGAAGCTTTTCATCCAATTGGTTCACCCCAACGCGAAGCTCATGAAGCTTCATTTGCTCTAGCAGGACACCTACTGGACGTAAAAATAATAGCTGGCATGAATTTGAAGAGTGTGGCATTTTGCACACAGCCTGTAAATGTCAACAACAAAAGAGTGTGTAAAACATGTATATGTAGTGATGCATATACTGTGTATATTTATGCTGCAGTATGGAAATGATTATTTGCGCAAGTTCGAACCGCTCATGACCAGTCACGTGGTACAGCCGGCAGCGAGCTCGGACGTCATCATTTTCAGCTCCTCCCATAATGAAGCAAGCCTCGATACGCGCTTCGCGGAACGCCCCTCCATTACTCGACACACGCTCCGAAGCCTCGATACAGAACGTCCCATCACTACTGTTTAGACCAGGTGTGTCCAACTCACAGCCTCAAGGGCTGGTGTCCTGCAGGTTTTAGATGTCTCCTTGATCCAACACAGCTGATTTAAATGGCTAAATTGCCTCTTAAACATGTCTTAAAGTTCTCCAGAGGCCTGATGATGAACAAATCATTTAATTCAGTTGTGCTGGCCCAGGGTGATATCTAAAACCTGCAGGACACCCTTGAGGGCTGGAGTTGGACACACCTGGTTTAGACCCATAATCAGTGCTTTAAACATAGTAAATTAAAATCAAGTGTGTACAATAATCTCTCAGGTTTTGAATAAATGTGTCTGACTAGCTAGTTAGGTATAGCTATGATACTGGCTTAAATAACTGCCACATATAAAAACATACGACTACGACCCAACTCTATATGCCGGCCTCAATGGTGCTGCTTTGTAGAAGTGTGAACACCTGTGAAGGTGTTTTGTCTTTTTCTTTATCTGACAGGCCGTCTCCAGACCACTGATTTCATCCACTCCAAAAGTCTACTGATAAAAGTGACGATGGAAACGTTGCGCTGTGACAGGTCCGGCTCTGCAGAGTGGTTCTGTTCTTCTACCCTGCTGTGCTTCACTCATCCCTGCATCGTTTTCAGCTGTGGTTCAGAGATGGCTGATTTCTCCTTGTTCACCAGTGGGTGGTGACAGATTCCTTCAGATTTGAAGTGTGGGGAAGGAACGCTTTGATTTCATGTCTGCCCAGAAAAGCCATTAACATAACAGTTCTTACACTTCATTTTATTATTTCTTTTACATTGTTTATACACATGAAGAACTGAAGAAAGGCACCATTTGATTAGACAATCTTTAAAAAAGGTTTTAAAATACACATAGACAGCAGTGAACACTACATAGGTATATTCACAAAAAGGCTAATTTTATAGTCCTGGTCCTTAATAATGCTTGAATTTTCTCATTTGTGTTATTTTATATTTAAATTTTAGAATTTTTTTTTATGCTAAAAATAAAAACAGATGAAAGATGAAAATATTAAGATTTTCACTGAGACTGAGCCGGACTGACAAGATTTTTGGTTTTGGCTTTAAAATGTAAGAATAATTCTCATCTTTCAGGAAGCATTGGGATTTTTTTCTCCAGCCCAAAATCATTGAGGAGTAACAGTAATGTGATTTTCCTTTGTGCTACTATTATACACTGAATTTCCCATAACGGCTATCTTTTTGCCTCTAGCTCTCACTTAAAGTGCACTGGTAAATGGGCCTACTGCCAGGTCCACGTTCAATAAAGAGGTAAAAGGGAATTACTCCTCTCCACTATCACATACATGCTTATCAACTTTCTATTTACAATATTTTAGGTTCTTTACTTTTTCATTGCAAAGTGGCTTGAGATGACTTCTGTAAACTGCATCCCTTCCGAGTTGATTATCCAAGGCACAATGAATCAAGGAGACTGCCCAGACACTTTTGTGAATATAAAAAAAGCTTCAGTTTTCTTTCTTAAGCTGACCTTACTTACGTTGCATAACTAGGAAATGTTCAGCCCTGCTTTAACAGACAGACAGGCAGGTGTACAGACAGACAGATGGGCCGTGACACAAAATAGGCACAACCAAAACCCAGTCTATCTTTAAACTGAGCTGCCAGACCCACATGTCGAGAGGAGCTCCAAGAACTCAAAAGGAGAGGGCTGAGTCGTAAATACCTCTGTTTTTAAATGGCCCGCTCCCATAATGCCGAGCGAGAGAGGAAGGAGGATGGGGGTCAGAGAGTGTGTGTGTGTGTGTGTGTAGCTGTATGTGATAAACTAACTTGGCATAACCAAGTGGAAAACATTTGCTTGGTTTTACATGGCAGCTAACAAATCATGCCTCAATAAAAATCAAATTAAAAACTACTTTCCTCGTTTTCCTCATAGCGATAATTCCTCTCCGGTGTAAGTAACTGTGTCTGCTGTGTATCTGTTCTTCATCTGGCAGGAGGTGTTAAGCAGGGGGTTCAGTGCAGCTTTGCTGGTGTTAAATTGTTTTAACTGCAGTTTTTTTTATGATGAATGTAAGAATCCTGCTTGTTTATTTCTGTCTGAAACAAGGACCCACTGCTTTACAAATGTCCCCCTGGCAGACCTGTGACATGTAGCCCACCTTTAACCCTTTGACAGTCTCCAGCTTCACAGCAACCCTGAATTGGATAAGTGGAAGAAATTGGATAGATAGTTTCCAGAAATTAGTAACCAAAAACAAAGATGAGGCACACTGACATACAAATGCATGTTGTATGTAAGAATGAGCCAGTTCTTCACATTTTTCAGCACAAGCAGATTAGTTATATACAAAGTCCCCGAGATGACATTCAGACCCCCCTCTTTCTAAAAGTATACACAGCACACATTTGTAAAGTAGCTCTTTTGTTGTGTAAAAGCTCTTTAGTGCAATAGCAAATGCCCCAAAAAGGCCATTAACAGCTGCTTTGACATGTACTGTATTGAACTGCTGAGCAGACAGCTCGTAAAGGCAGTGATAAAACAGCACCCATGGTGGCCATGGATGTGGATTGGATAGAGGCAGGTGCTCCAACTTACCAAGAGACTGATGGAAAATGGGTTAGAGTCATCACTGTGAGAAAGATGGGACAATGGAGAGTTAGTCTTACCCAGGAGATGGTTAGTTTGTACTGTTGCATGATACAAGCTGATTTAATGACAAGCAAAGTGGAAAAAAACACACACACACACACACTTGGAAAGTTGGAGAAATTCCTGCTGTATATCTTACAAAGTTATTTACCTCAGAGCCCAAACATGGCAGACGGAGGCAAACGTCTGGTTGATGGTAAGAATATTTTGTGATGATTCATTGTTTCTGTCATTCGTTCGAAATGGGGATCAGATTGATTAGTTGCTGCACACTTAGTTTAGTCAGAAATGTTATTTAGTAAAAGGTCAGGAAAGGAAATAATAGACAAGAATTGATTATCGAGATGTTATTTAAATATTTCCTTGCGTCTTTTTTTGTAAACATTACACATTCTGGCTTAACAGCATGTGAATACAACAAAGTTATATTCACATGCTGATAAACACACACATGCACAATTAGATTATTTTGTAACTTGGTGTCTTGAGAAAAAAAGGAAAATAGTATTCAAGAAAGAATTAGAGTGAATCAGCAGACGCACGGTCAGTTTCTGTTTGGAAACAGATTTGATTTCTTTTTTTAACAAAATGAGCAGCAGTTTTCTGGGAAAAATACCTTGTTGATGCCAGAGCTCGGAGGAGAATGGCCAGAGTGCTTCAAGCTAGTAGGAAGGTAAAAGTAACTCAAATAACAACACGATACAACTGACGTATACTGAACTTCTGAATGCACAACACATCAAGTCTTCAAACAAAAAGATGACAGCAGCAGAAGATCACTCACTCCCTACAGCTTTGAACAGGAAAGTACAATTAACACAGTTTCACCAAAACTGAACAATAGAAAATTGGGAAAACATTCAGATGGCAGGATCAGAATTTAGTGTCAATAACATGAAAGCATGGATCCATCCTGCTTTGTCCCAACAATGTGGGTTGCCAGCACCTTGTTGAATCTACACCATGCAGAATTAAGATGGCTCTGACGGTAAACCCAGTACAAGCATTGTGCAACTAACGAAGTGGATAATGAGTGTATATTCATGTTAGCAAGTTTATGACTTGTGTGGTGGTTGGGCTGATTAAAGTATATTATTCTTTAGACAAAACAATCTTCATCATCAGATGAAAACAACCTGTGTTACATAATCAAAAGCTGAGCATTGTGGTGCTTTCGGTTTGTTGCCATTTCCAAGGCAAAGAACTGAAATTCAGTTTATACTAAACAAAAATACCCCCCACCCCCGTGTCTTCCCTGTAACTTATCATGCTTATCTTGTCTAATCAACATAAACAAACTTGATGACTGAATATGGTAGTGAATGAGAGTAAAGCAACATGACACCTCTGAGCATGTGCACATCCAGATCAGAAACACACATAGACACACAACCATTTGCGAGTGATGAGAGATGGCTAGTTGGAAACTTCGAGGCCTGCACTTTCTGTCGTGCCACCTTCAGAGCTGTCAGTGAGGTTAATTCTGTGATGTTTGTGATTAGTGACCGGTGTAAGGTTACAGCTTCCCAAGACCAGTCCAGGACTTACGCTGCAAACGTCTGGACTTGACAAAAGTTTTGAAACGTATGACATTTCATCACATATGTGTAGTGTTTCATTACATAGTTCATATAGTTTTCAAAGGCTTGATAGAGCAGCCACACAAAATTTAATAGTGTTAATGTTTAGCATTGATGAGTGGATTCTCTTGTGCTAAATCACAGACTGTGTAGAAATAGATGGACTTTTTTTTTTAAAAACTGTTCCCCACTGGCAAAGCATGGATGAGATTGAGAAACTGAGTGCACTGCACACTCGTACATTAGAGACTTGTTATTCACTTGATAATCATTTGTTGTCATCTATTTTACTCTAAATTGGTTGCAAATGTGCAAATGAATGCCATGTTCTACTAAATAACACTTGAAATTAATAATCAA